AAAATAAGTAAACAAATATGTTTGTTTTTGCTGTACTAGTTTAAAGTTTGAGATGATGTGGTTTACCAGTGCTACTAAATCCTAAGATAGTAACTAGGCAGTGTGTAAAATACCCACTCCCAGAATTTAGTTTAACGAGGAAATATGGAATTCAAGGAGAGATCTTGCACCTGATCATAAACCAGATAGTTGAGTAAACCATCTACTGCTTGATTGCCCTCTCCCTGGAAATCATGTCCAAACACGAGGTTACACCAAAACCTTCTCATTCTAACAATATTTCAAGATATGAAAGGGACTGAAACATTAATCTTTTTGCATCAATTAGTATCTTAAAATTATCAACTGTCATCACCAACCAAAATATTAGACAGAGTTAACGACCAGTTAACAATGCTTTTGCTTTAGCCTCATCTCTTAAGATACCTAGTAGCCCAAAGATGAACAATCCTATAATGATCATGAGCCAATTCATCTCAAGGAAACAGCTGAGTTCTTTTTCCAAACCATTTTAATTTCAAGCTTGTCTAGTTGAAAGAAATCTATATAAGCTGTTTATGTTGCTTGCATTTGTAGTGCCTTCTATGACTGACAGAAATAAAATTGAGCAAATGCAATGAGTTCCATAATTATTTCTCCTAAAGAGGACTTACGAAAAAATGGCATTCAGGTCATGCATGGATATTAAGATATCCAACTAAATTTACAAAGATGTCTTCACGGCCAGTATATATCAGCTGAAAATAAGTGCAAGTATTTGCACTTACAAGCTTTAGCATTGCTGATAGCAAAACAAAGATTGTTGATCCAAGCTTGATCATCTCAATTGATCAGATTGATCATCTTTTCTAGAATGAGAGAGCCTCTTGTGGAAATAATTCTCATTGACATAACATAAGTACATGTCTGTATAAATAGGGTTACAGCAGAAGAATAGAAGGAAAGAATAAAAAATGCTAACTTCTAAGGTAACTAAGTATCCTAGGATATTCACACATTTAACGCCGAGATTCTCTTAGAGAAATATGAAACTTTACAACACTCCCCCTCAAGCATATCTTCCACGACCAGCTTGTTAATGAAGTTTTCAAACTGTTTTTTGGGCAGCCCTTTTGTCAGTGTGTGCTACTTGCTCAATTGTCGAGATATATGGCAGACATATTACTCCTTTATTTATTTTCTCTTTAATAAAATGTTTGTCTACCTTTACATGTTTTGTTCTATCATGAAGGGTTGTGAGCAATAGCTATTGCTGTTTTATTGTCACAATATAGTTTCATTGGTCGTGAATTAGTAACCTTTATTTCTTCCAGCAACTTTTTGATCTATAGATGTTCAAAAATTCCATGAGCAACAGCCCTAAATTCTGCCTGTGCACTACTCCTTGCCACAACATTTTGTTTCTTGCAGCGCCATGTTACTAAATTTCCTCCAACAAAAGTGCAATAGCCGGAAGTTAATCTTCTATCAGTGACACTTCTAGCCCAATCCGCATCAGTGTATACTTCAAACTGTAAATTTCCATGTCCTCCAAATATAAACCTTTACTTGGAGTCCCTTTTAGGTACCTTAAAATCCTATCGGTTTTGCTACCGGTACATCAAGGTATACATAGACGTGTACATCACACTCACATGGGAGGTGGGACCCGCTCGAATAAAAAAATATTTTATACATGTGGGTCCCACCTCCATGTGAGTGTGATGTATATCATTATGTACAATTCTTGATGTACAAGTAGCATTTTTGAAATCCTATACACAACATCAAAGTGCTTGGGTCCTGGTGACTGCATAAATTGACTTATCATGCTTGTTGCAAAGGCTATCTCAGGACATGTATGAGAGAGAGAGAAAAGAGTTTCCCTACCAATCTTTGGTATTGCTCTCTATTGGTCACTTCTTCAGCCTTAGCTCGTTGGAGTTCTATATTTGGCTCTATAGGTGTTCCTGCTGCTTTGCACCACAGTAGACCAGTTTCTCCAAGTAAATCAAGCACATACTTGCGTTGGGAAACAAAAATTCCTTTCTTTGACCTTGCAAATTCCATACCAAGAAATATTTCAAGTTGCCTAAATCTTTGATCTCAAATTCCTAGGGCTGTAGAACCGAACCGACCTAAAACTTTCGGGTATTTAATAAATGGAATTGTCGAGTCCAAATATAATTATGTAACTGTTCGGGTTTGGTTCCGTTCGGTTTGGTACCGTACCATAATTAATTTTTTTAAT